TGGAAAAATAATTCTTCTCCACTGTTCTATAGATCTACCTTTGTCATAAACCAAGTGTCCATATATGCATGAGGCTGCTCCTGGATTCTATAAGATGCCCAGTAGATTTCACCCCCGTTTTTATTATCGAACTTATACATACCATAGTGTGTGCTAGGCACACATCTAAACTATGTATATTTAATCCTTACAACAATCTTATGTGATAGGTATAATTGTTCTTTCCCACTTTACAGATGAGAAAACTGAGACACAGAAGGTTCAGTAATTTATCCAAAGTAGGAGCCAGTATTCAAATCCAGGGAGTCCTTCTGAAGTGTCCAGGTTCTTTACTCACAATTATTGATGATGCCTTCATGTACATTTCAAAATCTGCTTGTTGAAATTCACAAAAAGAAACCTATGGAAATTTTGAACAGGATTGCATTCAGTTATAGATTGGGTTGAGGCAGATTGACATCTTCAGAATATTGACTCTTCCAATCTGTAGTATCCTTCATGTAGATCCTCTTTAATTTATATACATAATGATTTATAGGATTCTATGTAGTTTTGTATGTGTCTTGTTAAATTACTTGATTTTAACTTTCATTGTTGCTAATATAGAGCAGTTTTTGAAGAGGGGTCCCATAACTAGGATTATTAGCATCACTTGAAAACTGATTTAGAACTGCAAATTCTTAAGCTCCACACCAGACCTACTGAATCAGAAACTCTGGAGATGGAATCCAACATCATGGTGACTTAATAAAATTTTAAAGTTTCATCAGAGCAATCAAAAGAAATACAATTGATGTTGTGTTTAGCAGACTTATTAAACATTCGTATTAATCCTATTAATAGAAATTATTTTGATTTCATATATATCATCTACAAATAATTGTAGCTTTATTTCTTCTTTCTGTTCCCTTCAACATTTTATTTCCTGTTCTTGCCCTTCTGCACTGGTTAGGAATTCTAATAAAAGGTTGAAGAGAGGCAATATTCAACCTTATACTGATCTCATAGGGAAAGTTTTCTACATAAAGTATGGTGTTTACCCTAGAATCTGGATCTTTTACCAGATTAAGAAAGCACACTGCAGTTCCCAAGGTTTTTTTGTGGTGGTGTTTTTTAATTATGAATGGGAGCTTCTGGATTGGTCAAAGCATGCACGTACCAGATGTTGGCACATCCCAACTCCACAAGGAACAAACTCCTTGGCTCAGGACCTATCCGGTCTTTGCCCTGTGGACGTCTTCATCAGTATGTTCATTTGTAACCTTTATAATCTTTATAATGAACTAGTGATAGTAAGTTAAAAAAATCATGTTGAAAAGGATGTTGCATTTTTTCAAATTATTTTTCTTCTATATTTTATTAAGATGATCACAAGTAAACCAAGTGTACATTCCTGGAATGAGCAACTTGGTTGTGATGTATTGTCTTTTTATATATTTCTGGGTTTGACTGCCAATATTTCATTTGGTATTTTTGCATCTATTTTCATCAGTGGGATTGGCCCTTAAGTTTCCTTTAAGGTCTATGTCAGGTTTTGTTATCAAGGCTTTTGTGACCTTATAACACAAATAAGATTGACATCATTTCTTACTTAAAAGTTTGATAGAATTTTGCCAGCAACCTTATGTCTGATGTTTTCTTTTGAGATATGGTGTAATTAATAGAGGAGTATTCAGATTTTTGTTCCTTGTGTTTGTTTTGAAGAGTTCTAATTTTCTAGGATTGTGTCCATTTCACCTACATTTTTAAATTTATTTTTCTAAATCATGTGTTGAGTTTATTAATATTGCAGGATTGATAGTGATGTCTTCTTTTTCATTCTTAGTATTGGTTAGTGCCTTTATTAGTCTCACTAGAAGTTTTCTAATTGCATTGATCTTTACAAAGAATCAGCTTTCAGCTTTTTTGATCCTCTGTTGTATGTTTTGAACTCTCCTTTTATCCTTATTATTTCCTTCCTTCTACTTTATTTGTATTTCAATTGCTGTTATTCCTCCTGTCCAATTGTATGTTTGCTTAGCTGATCAATAACTATCTTTATAATAACAATCTTTATCTGCATCTCATAAGTTTTTATATGAAATCTTCATTACCAGTCAGTATAAAATATTTTCTAAGTTTCATTTTGGTTTCTTCATGACCTGCTGGTTATTTAGAAGTATATTTATTAATTTCCAGATACGGATTTTCTTATTAATGTTTTGTTGATTTCTAGATTGCATGGCATTCAGAGAACATATTCTGTATTATTTCAGTTCTTTCAAATTTGTGGGACTTGTTTTTATGACTTACAATATGGTCAAGTATTATAAATGTTCAGTGTGCATGTGAAAAAATGGGTATTCTGCATTTATTAGATTGTTCTATATATGTTCATTAGATCATTTCTGCTAATTGTTGTTTAAGTTTACATATCTTTACTGAGTTTTTGCCTAGCATTTATGAGATAAGTTAAAATATCCCACTGTAGTTTTGAATTTTCCTATTCTAGTTATGTCAATTTTTGCTTTATAGAGTTTGAGGCAATATTATTAGGTGCATACAAATTTAGAAATGATTGCTCCCTGCCACATGAGAACACAGAAGGCGGCTCTCACTGGGGAACCAAATCAATCAGTATCTTGATCTTGGACTTCACAGCCACCAGAACTGTGAGAAATAAATGTCTATTGTTTCCACACAGTGTAATGAACACTAGTGAAGACAGAAATTGATTCCCAGAAGTGGGGTATTGCAAATTGCCTGTCCTAAAATGGGGAATGTGAGCTGAGTTGAGGTGGATGAGGAGCAGTGAGGATCCCCCCCCCCGCCATGCCCTTATTAGGAAATTGCAGTCATTGTTCCATAGCAGCAAAGAAAGCAGGTTGAAAGGTGCCAATGCATCTTGGGATTCCGATCACATGTTCATAGAGGCTAGTACTTTAGGACTTGATATAAGAAATACCGGAATGTTGGTAGTGGAGTCTTCTAGTGAACTTTAGTAAGGTGCTGTAAGAAATATACACTCTTTCAGCTGCCTGGTCTGAAAGCAGAAAGGAAAGGAAATGCAGACTCGTGTGAGGCAGGCTTTCCAACTATGGCTCAGGGTCAATGTTAAAAAAGCCAATTTTGCAGCCCCATGATAAAGTCAGTAAGAACAAAGATTGGGGGAAAAAACACCCACAAGTTTAGAGATGACTTATATCCCTGGTGAATTGAACCATTAAATATTATTTTAAAGCATTCTGTATTTCTGGTAATGCTTTTTTGCCTTAAAGTCTACTTTAACTGATACTAATGTCATTACACCAGCTTTCATTTTTTAATTCTGCTGCGTCTTTTAAAAAATTCTGAAATTCTCAGAGTTGTCTTTTATTACCTTAAACATTTTAAACGTAGCTCTACATCTAATGAACTCTTAATCCGTAGCCCCTGTGAGTCTGCTTGTATTGTTGGTTATTTCTGTATGCCCATTCGTGTTGTACTGTCTCATATGCTTCTGTATTTATGTATTTGTGACCCTTGTCCTCTACATTACAAGTATTTCCCCCAAATATATTGTTTGTATATTGGCTTTGTTTGTTGTATTTTTTACCACACAACTTCTAAATTTCTAAATAATCAAATATGTCTGTCCTTTGTTTTAAAGCTTCAGGATTTCTTTACTTAATGACCTCCCTTGCCCTTAGCCAGTCTCAAATGCTGTGGCTCTTCAGGGTTTCATTTTATGCCCGCCTTCTTCCCCCTCCCTAAGTTCCCTAGTTGATGTTATCCATTCCCATTGTTTTAAATTTTTTCTGCGGGCATTCCTCGTTTTATTGTGCTTCACTTTATTGTGCTTTGCAGATACTGCATTTTCACAAATTGAAGGTTTGTAGCAACCCTGCATCAGGCAAGTTTGTTGGCCCCATTTTCCCCAATAGGCTCAGATGATGGTTAGCATTTTCTAGCAATAAACTATTTCTTTTCTTGTTGTTATTAATCCTCAGCCAAGGATATTTTTCCATTGATTTTTTTTTAGCTAGAGCGGGAGAGAGAGAGAGAGAGGGAGAGGGAGAACATCGATGTGAGAGAAACATCGATTGGTTGCCTCCTGCACACGCCCCAACTGGGGCAGGGTATCAACCCTGCAACCCAGGTGTGTGCCCTTGATTGGGAATCAAACCCACCACACCCTTTCGTGCAAGGTTCAACACTAACCACTGAGCCCACCGGCCAGGGCAGCAATGAAATATTTCTTAATTAAGGTATGTACATTTTTTTTTTTAGATGTAATGCTATTGCACACTTGTAGACTATAGTATAAACAACTTTGACATGCTCTGGGAAAACAAAAAACTCATGTGACTCACTTTATGCGAAACTCACTTTATTACAGTGATCTGGAACCCAACCCACAGTATCTCTGAGGTGTGTCCGTATATGCTGATGATGCCCATATGTATATTTCCAGCCCAGACTTCTCTTCTGAGCATCTTCTGTAATATAAATCTCACTGCCCACCATCTGTGAGGGGCATGCTAGGTCCTGGAGGATATAGTAGTATGTAGTCCCTGCCCTCAGTGCTCATTAGAGAAAGTACATACTGTGTTAAACTGAAGGGAAGACTGGGAGACTTGTCCATCTGTTGTGCATTTTGTACTGCTGTAAGGGAAAGGCTACAGGCAAAGGCTTGATTCTGGAATACAGGGGTGGGCAAAAGTAGGTTAAATTACCAGCCATCATTACCTAAAAGGTAAATCATAAGTAAGGATATGAAGTAACAATAAGACAATACAAATAAGTACAATAATAAGAATACAAGAATAAACTTTAATGTGCTCACAACCGTAAACCTACTTTTTCCTCCCCCTATATATGACACTATTTGACATTTCCTTAAATGTTTCTCATTCCTCCAATTAAACTAATAATTATATCCTCACATACTAACTGCTTTAAACTAGAGAGACAACCTATCTGCACAAGTCAAAAATATATGAAGACGTCCATTTTTAGAAACACAAATCAAGCAGCACCAATTTTAGTTTGTAGCGTTTATTATAGTAAAAGTTCCCCTTGTAAAACATTACTGATTTTGGTCCTTATTTTCCATTTGGCTTTGAAACATTTTATTTTTACATTATTTACAAAATAAATTGCAGGTTTTTTTATTGTATATAATTTTTTCCCCTGACTCTTTGGAACATTACAGTTTCAAGTAACTAAAAAAATAAAAACACAGCAGATTAAATGTACCGAGAAGTACATATTGAACATATTTAATTACCACAGTAATTTAAAAGTCCTGATCGTTACTTCTTAAGATTAATGTTCATTAACATGAAGTCATTCAGGAATCTCCGGGATTTCCCTATTATCCACAATGAGAGTGTGAATAATGCCTTCTTTCCGCTTTCCACTACTGACAGCCTTTATGTAACAGTCGTGGTTCCCAACACTGAAGTGAGTTTCAGTCCCATCATCTACAAACTCACCCTAGGCCAACAAAAGGAGGAAGAATTAGTGTTCAGAAACATTTATCTTTGTCTAGAGCACTAACACCATCTAAAAGGGTGGTAAAATGAAGTACATATTAAATGTTAAGCTTTGCAAAATTAAAGTTAGAAATTTGTATTTTGATGCTTTCATATTCTGCTATGAATGAAAGTTTATTTGTACTCCCTACATTCTAAGAATCTAAAGTTTCAGAGGGAAGAAACAACCATGCACCTCATGGCTCTGTGTCTATAACACATACTATGCAGACAAATAGAATATTTTCAAAAGTAAAAATGATAAACATGAGCCCTGGCCGGCGTGGCTCAGTTGGTTAGAGCATTGCCCCGTGCACTGAAGGGTCTCGGGTTCGATTCCCGGTCAGGGCACATACCCAGGTTGCGGGTTCCATCCCTGGTCAGGCAATTGATCAATGTTTTTTCTCACATCGATGTTTCTCTCTCCCTCCCCTCCGCTCTAGAATCAATGAAAAAAAATCCTCAGGTGAGGATTAAAAAAAAAAGATAAACATGATAGCAAAAAATTATTACTTATTCTAAACCAAGAACGGTTTACGTGCATTATTTCACTACATCCTCACAATAACCCTGACAGAAGTACTGTTATCCTCATTTTACAGATGAGGAAATTGAGGTATACAGTGGTTAAGTAACTTGTTAAAGACCCTAGCCAGTAAGGGGATGGAGTGTTCTTAACCACTCCGAAGATCCGATTCCTCGGGGTATAAAGTTGGCTTTACAATAAAATACACAGATAACATAAAATCAAACACTACTAAATCTAGACTTGCTCTGTCCAGTACAGCTGCCACTCGCCATATGTAGCAAAATTGAGCACTGGAAATGTGGCGAGTCTGACATGAGATACGCTATTTAAGCGTAAAATATACACTGGATTTGGAATACTTAGTATGAAACAAAGAATGTAAAATAACTCACTAAAAACTTTTTTTACTGATTACATGTTAAATAATACTATTTTGATAGACTGATTTAAATCAAATATAAAATAAACTTCACCTTAAGACATAGCTACTAGAAAAGTTACACTCCCAGCTCATATCTGGCTTATATTATATTTCTGTTGATAGCACTGAACTGGAGTAAAAAGACAGGGACCAAGTCGAAGGAACAGGGTTAGAGGATACGAATGGATTATGTCAGAAAGCAAAGAAACCTCAGTCAGACTTGAAACTTGGCTATGAGCTCTCCTGGGCAGCCAAGGCAGACAGAGCAAGGTCCCGTGGCTTACATGATCTAACCAAGGAAAGCACAAGTGCGTCAGGGAGAGAAGCATTTTCCTGGCTCTGAGGAGAATTTGGCCAGTAGCCCTTAAGGGAGGTGTACTGAGAAGGACAGGGTCTTTTCACTCTTTTTTTAAAAATGCCTTTAAGTCATACTTCTGTAAAGATCAATTTAGAGGGCAGGGCAATGGTTTAGTAAAACAACCCCTCTAAGTAGCTTCTTGGCAATTTGACAGGTACATAATCTTGGTCATGATGCTTGGAGAAAAAAAGGGAGAAAATAAGCTGTAACTCACAGCAAGAGAAGGTGAGCATAGTACCAGGGAGGCTGCCTAGATACGGAGCTGCCAAGAGTCCTGCAAACTAGGTTGTAGTTACAATGAGGAGGCAACTGGGTCATAAAGAGCTATTTCCACACACTTGTGGTTTCCTGTCCATTACTGAGAAAGAGACATTGTAGGTGAACACTATTTTCAACTTCTTATTTACAACCACCTTTTTAAAGTCATAAAACAACGTTCTCTTTATATATGCACTGGAGAACTCCTTGAGGATGGGAGGGAATGTCGTTAAAACTACTTATTCTCCATTTAGGGAATTCCAGGGTAGGAAAGGAAGAACAGGAAGGAGCACCAGGTGTGGCGCTAGGCTGTTCACAAGGGGTCACAGAATGCTGAAGAGCTCTCCAAGCCTCTCCATAAAAGAAGTCCTAATCAGCAGACTGGACTTGGAAAGCGGCTCAGGCTCTGGGGCTCAGGTTTGAGTGAATCCTGATTAATGTTCTCTTCAAGAATTAATACCAGGATTGAGAAACAGAAAAGCATTCACCTTTGTAACTTTGGATTTCTCGCTTGGGCACTTCCTCAGAAGCAGACAGCTACAAGACCTGGTAGGTTCTAGGTAGTCTGAGTAAGTTCATCCCAGACCAAGCACCTCTTCTCACTTTCCTATACCAATACTAGATAGAGGAGAAATGGCAGCGACTACTATTGTGCAGGTAGCTGAAAATGTGAATGGAGAAGACAGCGCCTCATTCTCTAGCCGTGGTGCACCTGAAGCCAGCAGAAAAGGCAGACAGATACTGCCTGCTTGCCAGCTGACCCAATAACATGGGAATTTCCACTTGGTGATTTTAGCTCCTAGTCCCTCCCACACTCCCTGCCTCCCAAAATAGTCTCCTCTGCTTCCACTCCCTCCCTGTGCTGTGTAGATTACACCACTATTACTGGGGTTTTTTTTAAACTGAATATTGGGGTGACAGTGGTTAATAAAATTATATAGGTTTCAGGAATACAATTCTATATACACCACTATTTCATTCCAGCTTGGAATTCACTCCTATATTCATCCCACCCACAGCATTAACAGTGCAAGCAGCTGAGAGCAAAAGCTGAACACTGGAATTTAGGTGGGGATTTCATCCTGCATGGCCACAGTGAGCGAATAGTCTCTTGGCACTGCTAGTCTATAAATTCCACTTATCTTCTGGGGGTTGTGACAGTGCCCTTCCCGGTCTGCCTTTGTGTCATCATCTGACATTGTGTGCATCCCTTCTTTTCAAAAACATTGCTATTAGAAAACTACCATCTGTTTCAAGTGTGTGTGTAAAGCCTTCTATTCAAAGTGTGATCTGTAGATCAGTAGCATGAGCATCACCTGAGGAAATGTTAACATTTGCATTTTAACAAGATCCCAGGTGATTTCTATGCATGTGCAGTTGAGAAGCAGTGGTACAAAGCACCACTTTAACATGGATAAACGGGTATGCAGCTTTCAGGGGAGGAATTTTCTAATGGGGGAACTCTTTTTAGGATAAGCCTGATCCAGGAAAAGAAAGAGTGAGAGGTTGGTGTACGCTTACAACATAAATTGTTCCCAAATTCTTGCCATCCAAGGTACTTTCTGGGAAACATTTTCAGATTTTGGAGTCTGGTTAATTCGTCTCTTTTTTGTTTTCAACTAAGAGCACCTTGGGGTTAATTATAAAATCTTCATAATTAGGAAACATAGCAGCATTTCAACGGTAATGTACACACATGATGTGAAGAGAAATCAAAAGGTCAACTTACTGCTGTCTCCATTTTCTTACCATTACACCATACATCCATAGTGTCTTTTTCTGTAAAAGTAACAAATTAAAAAAATTATAATCTATGATTTAAAGATAAAGTTAACTCTATATTTATTATTTTTAGAAAGGTTTGATACACTGGATTCCTAAAATTCCATTAACTTTTCACAGCCCTGAATTTCTTCTAAATTTGAAGAAACTGATTATTCTTTGTTCACAGACGAAAATCAAAATCAAACAATACAAACTTTTAAGGGAAAGTCATTGTCCCAATACAAATTGACAAAGACTTGTTAAAATAAATCCTGAAGCACGGTCGTCGGAGGATGCATACAAGTGAACGTGAAGAGGGACTTTTGCACACGGAATGTTTGTTAGACTAGGTGATTAACCCTGCCCCTCACACTCAGCAGGATGGACGATGGCATAAAAAGACCACCGAGCCCTGGCTGGTGTGGTTCAGTTGGTTGGAGCATCATCCCATACACTGAAAGGTCGAGGGTTCAATTCCCAGTCAGGGCACATGCCTAGGTTACAGGTTCGATCCCCGATCAGGTCACGTACAGGAGGCAACCGATTAATGTTTCTCTCTCACATCATGTTTATCTCGCTCTCCCTCCCCGCCCTCGCTAAAAAAATGTGAAAATGTCCTTGGGTGAAGATTAGAAAGAAAAAAAGACCACCAAAAAAGACTACCACAGAGTTCATACAGGATAGCATGTCAGGTTTAGAAACTAAGTCTTAAATTTCTTACTGGATAGCATAATAATATCTATTCAGTTTTGTAATGGTTTCACTTTAGGGAAAAATTGGATCATAAGAAAAAAATACAGGCAGGTATACCTGGTGGCCTGTGCTAAGTATAGTGCTGACATACTAGAGCAAGATGCTGCCACGATACACCTGGGCATCAGTCAAGCTGCCATAGCTCACTTCTAGGAGGTGGGTATGTGTGTGTGCATGTGCACTTGGGGGGGAGATTCCCTAGACCCACTGTGAATGTGAGTGTCCTGGCCAGTGACAGGAGAGAAAACTGCACTCATCAGGCAACCAGAAGATGAGCTTTGGGACGAATGAAGACTAGAGAGAGAGATGGATGACTTGTGTGTGCACAAGGAATCCAGGAGTCAAAAACTTGTCTGAGGTCAAGGCTGAGGTGCCAGTCTGGCTTGACACTGACAGGCCCTCTACTCTGGAAAATGGTCTAAAGGACATTCTTTTCTCCTCACCCCTCGAGATGGGACCCCCACTCAGAGAGTGGAAAAGGGACTTTGAGCAGGGCTAGAGGGACAGAGAGAAAGGCAGAGGGGCCCAGGAGATACGGCAGGGGAACCACTGTGGCAGCCTGAGTAGGAAGCATCAACAGCAACAGTTGCACAGAAACCCAGGTTGTCCCAACACATGATCAGATCACACAATGCTAAAATAAACCACAATAATGGTGAAAACTAGAATGTTATTTTGTATGCCTACTGAACATGTGCTCAGATTTTCTACAATAGCTATTAACATGCCTCTGAAGAACACCACTAATCCAGAAGCCATAAAAGAAACATGAAATAAATCTGACTACATAAAAGTAAAAAAGGTTTCCGCACGATTAAACAGAACCATGCACACACATAATAAACAAAGTCATATAATAAATGACAAACTGGGGAAAAAATATTCAAAACTCACAGCACAGAGGACTAATCTTAGTAATATAAGGACTACTCCCTCAAAATCAAGGAGAAAAAGACCAACAACCCTCTACCCCCCAAAACGGGTCAAGGGAACCAACAGGCATTTCTAGAAAAGAAACTCAAAAGGACTGTAACCGCATGAGAAGATGCTCAACCTCACTCAATTCTGAGAAAAGCAAAATAACACTGGAATACTATTTCTCACCTAACAGAATATAAAAAATCCAACAACATGCTCTGTTGTCTCAAGAACCTGTGGGGAAATACTAGGAGCATAAAATGGTAAAAGCCTTCTGGAGGGCAACTGGGCAAAATCTAAGATGACCCAGCAATCCTACTTTCCCACCTCTGGGAATTGGTCCCAAAGAGATGTGTGCACTATATTCCAAGAGGCAGGTGAACAACGTCATCAATACTGCTTCTAACAGCAATGGAGCAGAAACAGCCCAAGTGCCCATCAGTTGGGAATGAGTTAAACTATTTTATTTACTATTTAAATTTACTCTGCAGCTACAAAAAAAAAGTATGAGAACATTCTTTATTACTGCTATAAAAGGATCTTCAGAATATACTAATAAATCAATAAAGATGATTTTATGTAATGAAGTAATACTTGTTTCAGTTTGAATAAAGAAACATTAGAAGGAGTCTATAAAAAATGGCTATCTTTATGAGGTGACCAGGGTGAATGGGAACAGGTGTGGAAGCAAGATTTCTCAATTATCTTTTTATATCATTTTGATTTCTGAATTATATATCACCTATTCTAAAACATGTATTATAAAAAAGATATTGCTCTGATAAAGCATCAAATCAATTAAGGCTCAGAAGTGGATTCAGTGAATCATAGGAGGTACTGGAGCATGTTCACCCTGGACCCTGTTCTCTCTGCCTACCTGCAGATTCCCTTGTCCCACAAGACCGACAGCTGGGGAGTCCACAGATGCGTCCTGAGCAGGTATGCGCGAGGTTTCAGAGCAGAAGGAATTTCCTCCCAGCATGAAGTTTCAGCATAACGGCACTTTCTCTGGCTGTCTTTATCTGCCTCCCACAGTGTTCAGTGGTGTGGCAACTACCAAACCTAACAATGCTGACCAGTGCTATCTTCAGGCCCCTCATGTGCCTCACATCTTTTAGGTGGTGAAAAAGAAGGCAGAGGATCTTTGAGGTCAGAGAGCTCTGGGTTCAAATCCCAGCTTTGTGATTTGCTAACAGTATCCTCTGGCAAGTCACCACCACTCTGAGTCTCAATTAGCCTCAGTTTTCTCATGGGTAAAATGAAAATGATACCACTTTTCTTAAAGATTGTTATAAGGATTAGAAATAATTTATGTAAAATGCCCAGCACAATATATTGCACAGAATATGGCCTCTCAGTACATTGTATTGTTTTAGTTATTAAGAGCTTTTTCTGCCTTGTTCTGCTTTTACTTCTCAATGTAAAATTTAGAAAGTTACATAATATTGTTATTTGAAATTTGTCAAATAATAAATACGTAGGCAACTTTCATGCCAAGCAAGACTCTAGGTAATTCCGTTCTTTGCCCAGGAATAACAATAATAACCACAGACAAGTTTTTAATTTTTCTTAATTGATTTTTTTTTAGAGAGATAAAGGGACAGAGAGAGAGAAACATTAATTTGAGAGAGAAACATCAATCGGTTGCCTCCCATATGTGCCCTGACTGAGAATCGAACCCTCAACCTTTTGATGTACAGGACGACACTCCAACCAACTGAGCCACCCGGCTATGGCCTTCTATTTTTTAATCTACCTTATCTGGATCTGACAAGTTTGATCTGCTGCAATCCTAACCCTATTGCTACCTAGAGAAAAATTCCCTTCTTACTGAACTGATGAATCTTAAATCTCCAGCTGCCTTTAGATATGCTTTTAAAGTGAAATATAAAATAATAACATGTCTATATCAATTTCTTTTTCAAAAATTTTATTGACTGATTGATTTTACAGAGAGAGGATGGAAGAGAGAGATTAACATGGATTTGCTGTCCCATTTATTAATGCATTCATTGGTTGACTCTTGTATGTGCTCTGACCAGGAATCAAACCCACAACCTTGGTGCATCAGGACAATGCTATAACCAAGGGAGGTACCTGGCCAGGGCCCAATATTTCTTCTTTCTTTTTTTTTTTTAATATCTTTATTGATTTAAGAGAGAGGAAGGGGGAGGGAGAGGGAGAAACATCAATGATGAGAGAGTCATTGATCAGCTGCCTCCTGCACCCCTGACTGGGGATCGAGCCCGCAACCTGGGCATGTGCCCTAACGGGGAATCGAACCTTGATCTCCTGGATCCTACGTTGATGCTCAACCGTTTAGCCACGCCCAGCTGGGCCCAATATTTCTTTTTGAAGCGCAAGCTTATAACCCTCAAATCCATCACTATGAAATCTGGCTCTCATATTTTATATATAAATCAATCGATTAAATGAATACTTCATTCACACAGAACACATTAAAAATACACTTGCATTTATACTCTCCCTTCTTCAAAGCTCCCTTAAAAGGTCTGGACAGCTAAAGAAACTACTAACTAAATGACTATCATAAAAAGGCAATACATTTTGCAGAAATAGCAATCACTTACCCAGCACAACTCTGAAGTCCTCACCATCCAAATGTAACACCCAAGTATTAGTTGTTTTTGATCTGTTCTCCATATACTTCTTGAGACTTTTCCCATTAATTTCCAGAGTATACTCATAAGCAAAGCCACTGACAGCATCTATATTTATGGTTGCTTTAGTCTTTGCAGCTCCAACACAGAAGGTTTCTTTACCCACTAATTTGAACATCCATTCTTTTCTTATCTCTTCCTAAGTAATAAAATAGAAAAATTGAAAACACACAAATGGAAGACAATTTAATATTTAATTTTAGAAATAATATAATTAAAGTGAGCAAATGACAATGCTATTTAGATGTAATTTTATTTAATTTGTGATGCAAAAGTTTTAGAATATAAACGCACTTAAGTTTAAATATTAAATGTTATATACTATGAACTCTATAACTATGATTAGATTACTTTGTACAGCAAAATGATACAGGCCAAAATATAAAGATAACCACTTGAGTAAGAGAAAAGCCTAATTCACATAGGAAGGATCTACATTAACAAAATCAACCTTCTCTGTATACCATATTTACAAAGTAACATGCTTTTTTTCCTACCTTCCCATCTACATATACCACTCGTTTGCCAGATGTGGTCCCATGTTCAAATTCAATCCTATGGACTCCATCACTTAAAGCAACATCCCAAACGGCTACAAGATCTGCCATTTTTCCCAGGCTATCCAAAGGGCTAAGGGAATAAAATACTTTAGTTACAATAGGCCAAAAACAGTAATCGAATAGCCAATTAATCCTTCTAAGAGGAAAATAACAGGTTTTTAAAACCCCTAAAATTACAAAATATTAAAGTGATATTACCTAAGAAATCTCACTCACAGTACATGTAATGATCTTCTCCCTCTTATGCACTCTTCCTTTAAGATGAAACTACTCTGCGTGGGTATACAGTCAGATAATTCCATACAAAGTCACCTTAACATTAATAGGATTAAGAATCTATCAGTTTATTCATGATAGTATTCTAAGCTAGGCTACAGAGTAATACTTGGAAAGGTCAGTAAGAAGTCTCCACTTCTCCCTCCCCTCATTTAAAAAGCACAGTACTTAATTTGGTTTTTCTTTTTCAGATCCAATCACTCCAAAACAAGAATTATACAAACCTTTCATACTTAAACCATGACTAGAAATTAATTTTAACAAAAAAAGATTCTCATTTATCAAAGTAAGAACTGAGAAAAAGAGAAGTCATGAAAGAAATGTCCTATAATAAAGATTAAAATGGTATGGAAAATAGTAACTCTTGTCATTGCTATAGGAAATCTTATTTAAAAAATAAAGGGTTCCATTTAGTCAGAAGTTTCTGGCACAATTTAAACACATATTTTAATATAAACATATTAAACAATATAAATATTTTAATATAAAACATATATATTATGTGTGTCCTATGTAAATGATATGTATAATACAAACATAACAGATAAATAATATTTTGATATTGATATATGTTTTGGGCTTTGAGAGAAGTAACATTTATTACAGCTTTAATTATCATAGCTAACAGTGAAGTGCCCACTGTGTACCAGTCACTGTTCTAAGAGCTTTACATATACTAACTCATAGAATCCTCACCATGAAATGGGTACTGTTATTACCCCTATTTTATAGATGAGGAAATTGAGGCTCAGAGAAGCTAAGGGCTTGTCTAAGGTCACAATGACAGTAAGTGGCAGATGGGATTTAAACTTAGGACCCTGGCTCCAGAGGCTGTTCATTTAACTACATCCTACTCTTCATTCCCTCTAATCTCCTTTGTGTGCTCTAAATCAGAGATACTAAACGGGTTTTATATCATCTTGAAGTGATTGCCAAGAACTTTGTGCTGAGATTGATTTGTAGATTGTACATCCAGGTCCTATAGAGGATGCCACGTTAGTGGTGGCCACCTTCATGCCAGGTATTTACTACCCTTGTTCTACATCATAGAAAAGCAAAGCAGTTTTACAAAATGTGTCCTTAAAAAAGTAGCTTGGATAAATAACTCTTGTGAATGATTAAAACAATCTGGAAAGTTTCAAAAGCTAGTTTTATTGCAATGCAAGACATTTACCTTTCATCATCTTCAAAGATAGGACTGTCATCTCCAGATGCCATGGTTGGCAAAACAGTCTTTAATCCAATTAGCAGCCAGGAAAGAAAAAGGCAGAATTGCAGGCAAGAAAGATTGAGAGCAACAAAGATGACATTTGCAAAGGGTTTGTCTTCTTTTAAAAAAAAAAAAAAAAGTTTTTATTGATTTTAGAGAGGAAGGGAGAGGGAGAGAGAGAAACATTTGTCGGCTGCCTCCTGCACATCCCCTACTGGGGATTGAGCCCGCAACCCAGGCACATGCCCTGACCAGAAATGGAACCTGCAACCTTTTGGTGCATGGGACCAAGTTCAGTGAACTGAGCCATGCTGGCCAGGGCTCTGCAAAGGGTCTTTCTAACTTTGCAATTCATTTCTTAAATTGCATGCAGTTTCTGATGAAACAACTTTTACATACAACAGAATTGCAATCTCTAATTTTCAGGGAAAGAAGTTAAGTCATGCAAATTGGCTAATCATATATTTCCATGTTACGTGTTTATAGAATAACTCGAGTTTAGTTCAAGGATTATACCGCATCAGAGCTTCAGGAGTCTACTAGGGTCCTCTGGGTCCCATGCTTCTCAAATTGAGGCAAAAAAAGCCCCAAGGGTATGAGGCAGCGGGTTAGGGAATACATAAAACTCCAGGATAAACAATGCATCTTCTGGAAGCATCGATGTTAGAGGGTGGCCGCAAATTAAAAGGCAACCTTTATATTAAGTTTTAGAAGGCTACATTATGGTAGAATATATAATTTTAAAATTTTATATAACTTCAAAGAAATGTTGAGTTTGCAGGAAGCAGCCAAGAATATGCCAGTTCACTCTATAAGAGAAAACTTAATTTACTGGTTTGCTCAGGCCAACTTAATTTACTAGTGCCAAAAATGAATCCACAAACGTTATATGGTTTGCTCAGGCCACTAGCAGGGCCCAAGCCAAATCTAGAGCCCAGTATTTCTGTGCAATTAATGAAAGAGTAACTGGGCTGTAATGCTAATTATGTATTGCTGAGATCAGAGGCACAAATATACTCACATACATAGGAAACGCTCCATATTTGAAGATTTGGGATTAACGGTTGTACCCCTGCCATACCTACTAAAAATTGGACTCACTGATTTTTGCTCCCAAGATCTATGCTAGCCTAGCCTTCTCCCTATAGATGTCCAAGGGTGCTCTCTCCTTATTTAAAATGGAAAATCAGACAGCCAGAAGCCACAAATTGCTTTTTAAAAGATGTTAAGGAAGAGATTAGTATCCATAAAAGCAATATAACAGGCAAAGAAAAGCTAAGAATTTTAGTATGAAAACTAGGTAAGTATTTAAAACACTTTATTCCTAAAATAAATCCCTCTTTTTTTTTTATTAGCACCTTAAAATTCTATAGATTTTTCTAGTCTTAGGAAGCCCTAGGGTACCTCCTATGAAAGTGGAGGGTACCCTACAACTATGAAAGCAAAGAGAATACATAGCAATAGAGTAAGCCAAACAGCATAATATCAATTTGGATAAGGTATCCTCTGCAAGTCAGAGTAGAGTTAGGGATATCATTCAAATTTTGCTCTACTTCTTAGAAACTCTAGAAAGTTCAGTAATTCAGCATTCAAATTTGAAAGAATTGCCCAGTTTTCCATTATAAGGAACTTCAACTATTGTCATACTAACATAAGGCCTGGTACCATCTTAATTGTAATAACTTTTCAAATAGGTATAAAAGACAACACAACATATTAAAAGGGGGAGTTAGACAGTAGTGTGGTAAAGGCCTGGAACTG